TCATACCTCAGTATTTCACAGGTGATTTCAGTCTAATAGAGTAGCTGTCTGAAAGGCAAACCAGTGTACAGCACGGCAGGGGGCTGATGGGTTGGCCCAGATAGAGGGAAACAGACATAAAGTTCAACCAGGACACATGGAAAAGATTTGAACACAGTGCAACAGTGACCACTGCTTAACTGACCCTGAATCTCTCAGACACTCACTCACTCACAGCGAAATCCAAAAACCAGTTAAGTGCCCATCTCTCCTAAAAAAAAAAAAAAAAAAAATCTGCAGTCTTTCATATGCTCATCACCTGCAACTCAACTGGGAGCAGAAACAGAATGTAATCTATCCATCACTTTCCAGATAAAGCTCTATTTCCTCAAAGTGAACATTTGTTTAAAAAAAAAGGAGAACAGAAGTCCTGTCACTTATGCAAGGAGTGTACACATCCAGCTCTGCAGACAGAAGGCTACTGTATAGATGAACAGAAGTACTGTCTGCAGATGGTCACATGGAGGGTGCTGAAACATTCGACTCTCCTCCAAAACTCTTCCGAGTCAAGAGGTGATGAAAAGAGCCTCAGGGCTTTAGACTATTAGATGGAGCCTGTTTTGATAGCTAAAATAAAGAACTGAAGCCTAACGTTCTTATTGTATGTTACATTTGATTCAGTTGTTATCCTCATGGGACCTGACATCTCATTTCAAGGGCACTGTGAATGGAGAATGTTGAAGCAGAGAATAGCTATAAAGCAATGTATGCATTGATGTTAAAATGCAAATACGCAGGTGTGTGTGCTTCTCTGAGCATGTGGCTATGAATGTGACCACGTGTCACCATCCATGCAGCCAGCACAGGTACAGATGCTGGCAACTTATCCAAAGCTCTGCATAGATTCACCAACATAATTCCGAATAAACATAAATACTGAAAACGAGTAATGCATTATCTTTCTCTGTACAACACATCCTGACGTATGCTATCAAATACAATACTAGCTGACAATGTCAACACAAGGGTACAGTACCACAAACTAATACAAATTCTTAATAGACACATACACAAGGTTTATTTTAGCTTTGTGTTAAGTGCAAACAAAAAGCTGGAAAGTAGAAAGTTGAAAACCACCCCATAGAGAAGCAGAAACAGGTGGGGGTAGAAATTTTGGCTACAAGCCGACTGCTCATCACTGCTTTTGTTGCCTTTTGAAGATCATTCTGTGTCCTTTGCTGCTTGCTTTGTGTTAGAATGTTGTCTTTGCTAATGTTTGCATTGTGTCGATGATCTGTTACCAGCGCACCTGGGTGCAGTTTGCAGTTTAGCTTAATTAAAATTAAAATAATGTTCATACCCTAACTGCTCAAAAGTTAAAGACTGCTCCACTATTGATTGTAGTGCAAGTGCACATTTTTCTGTCCGCCCATGAAGATCGAGCTTTTGTAAGTGACAACAAAGTTGGTACTTTAGTGTGATTACTTTATTTAGTATGACGTGTTATATTACTGTGTGACACTAAAGTTAATGCAGTTACACTAATATTTTAGTCAATAACAGGCTGGAGTCTATTCTAGGTGCAAGAGGTGAAAAGTGGGAAAGAACCTGGACAGATAGGCAATCTATTACAGGGCACCTAGAGGCAATCATTCATACTCATATTCACACCAATCTTTGGATTTTAGCATGAAGCCGGAGTCTTACCAGAAAATATAAAGGAAATTTTAAGCAAATTTTGCTTCACAATCAATCTGTCTGTGTGGTAGATCTTGCTTTGGTCTTGACGTGACTTCAGGCTTTTGCAAAAATCCTAACAATAGCAAGCTAACTGCTATTTGTATAGCATGCTAATAGCAAGCTAATTGCTATTTGCTCATAACAAGCTAATTGCTTTTTATAGAAGAGAATTCTTAAATAGAGGTTTTCCAGACATGTGACAGCTTACCACGTGATATTAATTTGTCTACTAAACATTATGCAGATGATATAAATTACTATGAGTAAACAAACAAGTGTATATTCTCCCTCTGAGGAAGTAAAACACTTTCATGGCAAGCATCTTTCTTGTTATGTGGGGAAACTGGGCTGAAGATGGATGTTAGCTGTGTTTACTGGTTCTGTGAAGTGCAACCCTGGCACTCCTCTAATGTAGCAATGACAGTGTCCTGTCAAAATCAATTGGGAAGCTTTATTTAACCAATTCATATTTTGTACATTAGTACAAGCCTAGAAAAAATCATCTTACTTGTAAGAAAAGTTAGGATGTTATTATTTTTAGTTTGGAATATGGCACATATAATCATTATTATTAGAGTGGTTATAAGTTGGGCTTTCTTGTTTTGAGGCAGGGGTAACATCCTTTTAAGAGTTTAGTACTATTCAGTCCCTTTTGAGGGCTACTTGACATAATTTTATAGTCAGTTTTGGAGAAATGACTGAACAGGCTCTCATATACATAGTGGAGTTCATTTAACCCTACAAGCAGGAAAAAAAGCTTTAAGAAATGGCTAACATCAGTTAAGACGACTTCACCCTTTGCCTATGCCTTTGAACTCCTGTCTCATAAGTATCTGCAAACATGCCACTTTGTGAAGCAGCGTATACTCCAAAAACTATATAGTGCAACCATAAGAACTGAAAAACATAAGTGTCAGAAGTCTGCACAAAATCTCCTTTGAAAATTCTTACCTATTCACACACACCCACATACACATGCACACAAGCAATTACAAGGTGCCTTGGATTCCCATTTGCAATATTCGAGCAGCTTGATCCTGTCAGAAGATTGGATTGATCCCATTTATGTCATTTAGGTCCCTAGAAAGCAAGTATTTAATGAGGAGTTACTGCCACTCATTATGAAATGAGCACACTCATCAGGCTTCAAGGTTATTGGGGTCATGCACAACTTCAGGTAAATCTGCATAGTTATTGTTTTAAAGCTTCACAGGGATATAAAAATTCTAAATAAGCTGTAAACAAAATCACAAATACTGAAAAGATTTATAACTGAATAGGTGCACTGTCAAGTGCCATACATAAACCAGGAGTTTTAAACAAAGGGAGTATTTTTCAGTTGTAGTTTATATTTCAAGGAAACAATTAAGGAAAGAAACCTAAACTTACATCCAAGGACACACATTTGTATGAACACTGTAAAATTTGGGAAAGCTGCATACAAAGTAGGAAGCATGACCTGCAGTTGCAGTTAATCACTTTATATTTTTTATATTATAATTGTATTAATTCTAACCACTATAATCGTTTTTTCCTGTGTGATTAATAAAGTACAGTACGAGTCTGTGGTGAATATTTATGCCTGGGGATGAAGTTATTTTAGCTCCCTATTAAATGCATTTTACAGTTGTTGTGAAGGCATTGTCATACTGTACATGGTGGAAGTTCAGAGCTTATCATCCTGAACAGCTGATGCTGGGCTGTGTTTGTGTGTGTTTGTCTCCGCGTGTATGTGCTGTTTGCTCCCCTTTCTCACAGCTGCTGCTGCTGAACGATTTCAGGATCTCGTCTCTTGGTAGCCTATTAGAAACCATGAATCTAGTGGGGTTTTTTTAAACCATTACTTTAAAGGCTGTTTCCACAACCTTGATGCAACCAAACAGCACTGACGTGTCTGATGACTTTCATGTTCAGCTTCCCTGATCAATATCAGTAAAGCAAGTCATTTGCAGTCGTGAGCGCACAGAAAACGATCACTCGTGTTAAAACTTCAGCTCTTACATTTGGTATTTTGACTGCATGAAAGTGCTCACACTGGCTTGTTTGGTGCTTGTGGGAGTTATAAAAAGATGTTTGTTCAGATGCTCAACAAGCTGTAAATGTCAAGGTCAAACTTCAGATAAGTATACAGCTTACTGTGTTTGAACTGAGGCAGTGATACCCTATTAAAATTAAGGCTTTATGCTTATATAGCAAACATGATGTAGTACATGGCAGTGCACTAATGGCACCAGAGTCCAAACTGAGAAACACTACAAGTCTGCAGTTAGTTTAGCTTCTTAGCTCATTATTTTGGTTTTGTCAGGATGCATTGCTGTTTTATCTGTCCACTTTTCTAGCAGCTCTTTTCAGCAAAAAGCTCTAACAAGCCCTGTTTGCAGCACCAAAAACATAGCATTTAAAGCCTCAGAGATTCAAAGATTACACTGACTGCTTTCTGTTAACCCATTGCTGAAACTAAACGCAGCACTGGATAAAAGGCAAGAAGTTAAAACTGGGAAAAGTGAAAATCCAAAGTATGTACTCCTTGTCTTATGTTATGCCTCCCATCAGAAAAATATGCAATAAACAAGACTGCATGACAGCTTTAGGTGATGGAATGGTAGCGTAATGAGTTATGTAACTGTCCTACAGCAAAAAAAATCTTTTGTATATTTTGATATATCATGCCTGTTCCCATGGAAAATCGAGGTCAGACCAGAGCTTCAGAATCTGTTGAGCTGTATTATATATGATTAGTTTGTGCGGCAGTTATTTCCATCATTCCATCTGACCCCAATTGACCTGAAACTGCGTAACGTAATCTCCTTATGCCATTCCTCCTGCATTTTATGAACCCCATCTTTTGACCTTGTTTTCAGACTTGCATACCATGAAGTTCAAGGCTTTGGAAAGATTAACTATGTTATTGCTATGGTTAATAACTTTTAATAGCCTTACTAATACTTACTTAATGTAAAAGTTAAGACATATATAGAGCAGCCAAAGGGTCATCTTCTCACTAATCCCAGTATCAAAAGCCACTGTCTTTTTTTTTTAAGTCATTATTATTTTCCATATTCAAGTGTCCCACAACCTTTTGTCCTGTTCAACCTTTCCCATCATACTTAGCAATGTCTGTGTGTGGGTCTATGTGTGTATACAATCTCAGGAGCATATGCACACAGAAACTGTATCTGTGTGTGGAAGGATGCTTTGCGAACCAACAGTAAATACATAAGAAAAATAAGCATTGTGTTTAAACACACAGAGCAGCTGGGAGACAAACATCAATCACTCACCCATGCTTGTCATCTAAACCCTCTCTCATCCAGTCTGTGTGTTTCACACACACACAATTATTCAGCCACAACAAGCTGGTGATAGAAAGAAGAACCAAAACACAATTAGTACCACCAGAACACATCATTCCTTTAAAATATTTGGAAAAATGGCCCTAGTGCTTTTGACTATAAATAAGCAAATAAATAATATAATCTCTCAATGGAAATAATTATTTAGTCTATATGATGAGAGAAAATAGCTTTAAAATGTTATTTGGTTTTTACAGTGTTAACAGCTGCACCATTCACTGTCTTTTCATAGTAACAACTGTTAAGATAATGTGTAATGTAAAAGCATTTGAGTGGAAAGAGAAATCCACAAAGAGTCATCACATGATTCTGCAGTTCCCTTGAGCCTCCTTGTTGTAGCGTCATTCAGCTTACAGTTATAGAGAGCTGAAAAAGAGTAAACATCACTCTTACATCAGCTTGAAACACTGTGTATCATCCCTAAGTGGCTAAAATATTTATTTAAAAAATGCATGTATATATATGTATGCAGTACATATATGTGTCACGGTCCTGAGTCTGCCGACTCAGTGTTTTGTGTTTCTTTATGCTTTTGTTTATTCTGATTATGTATTCCATTATGATTTGCCATTTGTTAGGTTTCTGTTCTGTGCCTGCCCTGGTCCCACTTCCGTGTTCCCTCTGTGTGTCTATGGCGTCACATTGTCTGCTTGTGAATCTGTCTGTTTAGTTCAGTGTCTTGTCTGGTTCTCTGTGTCTGAGTTTCCTGTTTTATTCTGAAGGTCCCCGTCTCATGTGAGTGTGTTCAGTTTACGTTTCCCCTGTCCCGTCAGCTCTGACTTCTCCCAGGTGTGTTGCCCTCCTGTCTCTCATCCCCTGATTACTGCTGTGTGTATTTAAGCCCTGTGTGTTCTCCTGCCTGTTGCTGGTTTGTCTGTGTCTCTCTGCCTCGCTCCCTGGTTTGTATGTTCTCAGGTTTGTTATTTCGTTTTTCCCAGTTTAGGTTTCTTTAATTCCCTGTCATCCCTCACTGCCTGCTTGCCACTACACCACCCTGTAAATAAACATCACTCGAATCATCAGTCATCGCCTGCATTTTGGGTCCTCCTTTCCTCCAACACCACACGGCTCGCCTCGGCAGCCTGGACAATATGTGTGTTGACTACACAACATTTCAGCCCCTCAATAATGAACACATGCAGATCAGACCTCAGCAAGTGAGAAATCTATGCATAGACACAGATGTTTAATTCCTAATGTTCACCTCAACTTTCATGACTACGGTTTGAACCACATCAGCAAACGTATACATGGAATTAATCAACAAAGATAATAAATGAATGATCAGTTACTCATTTAGGGTCGACACTAAGCACAGGATAACTGACTCCTGCACGTGAAAGCTGATAAGATAAGACGAGGATAACTGAGTCTCATATTATGCTTTTACAACAATTTGATGGACAACTCTCCACATATTTTTTCAGCCTCAGCAGAAAAGCAGCTCATCATCTCTGGCAACATTATCACCCTCCCTTTACGGATGTTTACCAACTACGCATCTCAAGTTTGTGTAACTTTCCCATCAGAGAAGAAAAGTATGTGCCAAAATCTACATGGCAAAAATCTCTCTTCCATCAAATGTAGTCCAGGTTTTTTTTTTTTAACATTTCCTAAATGACCCTAAAATCAGGAATAATTTCATGGCCTATTGTTAAGTCGTCCACATGCACTTAGTTCGACACGAGAGAGCTGAGCTGAGACAAAACTCTAATTAAATTGGATGTTTTATATCGTATATATATATATATACTTCTTATAAAACAAAAAGAATCATTACTTATTTTTATGTTCCACAGTTCAAATAATGAATCTGCTTTTAGTAAGACAAGAATCTACCTCTGCTTCCCTTCTGTGTGGTATCACTGTATGAATTATTTTTCGGTCTCCAGTAACTGGAACAAAGTGATGACTCATATTGTGATTTGCTGCCATATAAAGACAACAAAACAAAGTTGCTTAACAAATACAAAGGATTGCAAATTTTGTTGTTTACTATAAGTTTGTGAACTCTTAATTTCAGCTCAGTGTGAGAGTATCTCTTTCTCTGCTCTCTGTCTCAGTGCTGAATAGTTAATGAAAATACTGCAAAGTACACGTGTGGTGCATAAGACTAATCTACAATCAATTAAAAAGAATGAATCTGTTATGCCAGCTACAGTGATACAAGACTATAGTTCCACAGTGTTTCTTTAGTCCAGTATTAAGAGATGGCTGCCACTCCCTGAGCCTGGAGCTTTCTTAAAAGAGAGTTTTTCCTTCCCACTGTCAACAAGTGATTGCTCATAGGGCGTCGTCTTAATTGTTAGGGTTTTCTCTGTCTTACAAGCTCTCTACCTTCCAATATATACCTTATATTTCTCACAATAATCAAGAGACAAACTACTCCTGAGTAATGTGAAAAAAAGATGCTAGTTCTTGCAAGTCCACTATGACTTAACAGAGTCATAGTCAGATAAATAGTAAGATAAATTTTATCATCTTTGGTTTTTGGGTCTGGTCTGTTGCTAGGCTGCCTTCCAGTGACACGTGGCAAAAAAACAAACAAACAAAAACTCAAATCAACTGGCTGCTGTATAAAGCAGGGGTACTCAACCGGTTTAAATCAGGTAATACTTTCACGGACCGGCCTTTAAGGTGTCGCGGATAAATACAACAAAATAAAATGATACGACAGAGACAAAAACTGTGGTATTTTGTAAATATAATAATAAACGTGTAGCTTTATTAGCAGCGTCCTCCTGAAATGCAGCAACAACATTGAGAGTAACATCCTCCTGTCTGCCACTTAATGCTCTCTGGTCACTATGGTTATGCGTGAATATTTGTTTAAAAAAAACACAAATACAACACAGGAAAAGACAAAGTTAACGAATAAAAACCCTGAAAACCATAAATTTCACACCTGAGCCTCAACTCTTAGGGCCGGGTTCCAAACGACTCACGGACCGGTCCGTGGCCTGGGGGTTGGGGACCGCTGGTATAAAGTCAAGAAACTAACAACCTAACAGACAAGTGATTTTTGAATCTCAATTCACTGGGTGTCCGGAAATAGGATTTTGGATTGGATATTGCTTTTTGCCTGCTGCATGCTTAAGTGAGACATTGTTTTCCAACACACTTATCTTTGGGACCGTGTTTATGCTTCTCCTGTTTTGAAGTCTCCCCCACAAGTGAACCAAAATCCCTCATTTCACACAGGCCTTGACAGAGGAGCCGATAACACTCAATGCTAAACGATTCTCATGAACAAGGCAACTTGGCACTAGCTCTAAATGGAACCAAATTCTCAAATCACAACCTTACTGACCTCATCATTAACATGCTCTCGCTGTGCACGACTATAGTAGCTGCAAAAACACCATCCCCTCATTAGCACTTAGTCCAGATAAACAGGGTGATCCTGGCTGCACAGGATAATGGGAGGACCACAGGTTAATCTCTATAACTGTCCGAATGTCATTTGTTATTAACACCTACACACAAACAGAGAAAATCAAATCTGTAATAAACTTCCTACGTGCCATTTTTGCCTCTCCGTTCTACCTTCCCCGTCTCATTCAGCCATAATTGGTGAACAGCTTCCACAGCAAAAGTAAACTTTCTAATCTGGCACTGAATTGCTTCTACATGAAATTACAACTCATAAGATATTATGTTGACTGCAAAGCCAGCAAATGCCCCCTTAATAAACATAACCCGCTATTATATCGCACACATCTATTTGCATTCTCAATTTCATTGCTGCGCAACGTTTTTCCATAAAATGTATTAGATCATTTCTTCATACCTCAACAGGCCATATGAGTTCATTCTCATATTCCCAGAGAAAGTGAGGCTTAGATTGGGTCAGCGTGCACTAGCAGTGTGAACATCCAACTTCCTACTGCGTAATTCCCTATTGCTTTTGGACAACGCCCAAAGTACGCTGGAATGAACCCAAGCAATGTGTGAATGTGTGACAAAATACACTAATTTAGATAATAATCACAGAGAGCATGTTTATGGGTCATTAAAGGAAAGCATACTGTGACCAAGAAATCTCACACACTAAGCTCCTGCTCATTAGAGGGAAGCGGACGACTCAACTAATTACTCTGTGAACGTGACGGGCCACAAAGAATGTGTCATAATCTGTCTCTTGAGAATTAGCGTCCACCTCTGCACTGCTTTAATTATGGGAACAGGGCCATTCCAAAATCACTCGTAATTCTGTAGGCAAAACAAGGTATAGGTGTCACTGAGATGGATTCAAGTCCTCGTGTCAGTTATATAAAGAGAAAAGAGAAACTAAGTTCAACTCTGGTTTCATTACAAAGATCCATTATAGTGCTAGAGATCTAAAAACAGTAATATTCATTGGTGAATATAATTAATTAAATCCCTTGAGTGGATGCTTACTCAGACAATGACAGCAGTGGTATTTGGATAGCAAAATATGATTACGCAACCTCAAGTATTAAATAAGTGGATCATTGAGCTAACAGAGCATGTGTTTCTGGTAACCTTAATGGATATATGAACAGACAGTCTTAGCTTATGCTCATATATAGTTAGGTCCATAAGACTTTGGAAGAGGACATATATTTAACTACCAAATATTGTTTCCTGCCTTGAGATATTTTTGCAAGGCCGTTACTTGCAGCCAATTTCCTGCTTGTTTTTGAGTCTTTCTGCCTTCAGTTTATTGTTCAGAAACTGAAAAGCATGATCTGTTGAGTTAAAATCAGGTGACTGACTTCCTCATTGCAGAATATCTCTTTTCTTTGCCTTAAAAAACTCATGGGTTGCTTTTGCAGTTTGCTTTGGGTCATTATCCTTTTGCACTGTCTGATCGGTTTTGCAGCATTTGGCTGAATCTGAGCAGAGACCACTTCTATGGTCTTTCATGCGTTTTGGTGTTGCTGACCTGGTCAGTGTATTTATTTTTTAAAGACTGGACCAGATTGTTGTTTGGCCATTCCTAATTATTTTTGCTGTGTCTCTGGTAGGTTAATGTTGGTTTTCCTTCAATTTTTCCTTCCTTCGTGTTTTCCGGACCTTATATTGAGAGTTACGGTGACAAGCTTCACCACTCAGAATCAACTCCCAGCCTTTTATAAGCTTCATTTGTCATGAAATAACAAGGTAACAGGACTCACTCTGCAATTAAAGGCTTGTCATTCAGTTGCCTAATTCCTCCTGAGCCTCTGAAAATGGGCAACGATGTATAAAATGGCTGTAATTGCTGAAGAGTTGATGCACAACTTTTGTTAAACCACTTCATTTAAAACTGAAAGTCAGAAACCCAATCACATCTTGACTGTTTGATTTCAAATCCACTGTGGTGGTGTACAGAAGCAAAAGTACAAAGATTATGTCACTGTGCAAAAACCTATGGAGCTGTTTGACCATGCGCTACATGATGGCTGACAGGTCATGACAAACTGCAGCAAAGAAATCCAAATGTGAAAGAACTTGGCATTTTCAAAGTCTTCTAGCTCTATGTATGTTAATGTGTAAAAAAAACAAAAAAACAAGAGTGAACTAAACCAAACAAACTGGTTTAAAACAGAACAAAGTGGTTTCAGCTGCTCAGTACAGCTGGGGTGATCTGCTGATTTGGGTTATGAATCTCTGTGGCTAGTTTTTCACTTTTTACACACAGTCATTTGACCCATTATTAAGATAATGATCAGCAGGTAGTCAAAAATTATGGTTTCTCAGTCTAAATACCAATACTCATGTTGAAAAGCGCAG